AATTAAATGTAAGAGAGAAACATTAAAATATCCTGAAAGAGAGGATGTGACAAGTGGGTGTGGCAGGGGGGGTCTGATTTTCTATTTGATAGCTCTGTAGCCAAACAAAATTGAAGGGGTTAATTTGAAGAGATGCACAAAAGAAATAAAGTAGGTGTCAACATTATAATGACTTTTGTCACATAAAAATGTCATCATCTACTACATCTTTCAAGCTCTGCGATTTTGAAATTTAACCCAAAATCTCTTTTCAAACCTCCAGTATAAAAGAGACCATTAGCTGCTCATTTTAGCCTTTACTTTCTACATAATTACAGCCTAAATCTTCCATCATTACTTTTTAAACCAAACATAAAACATGTTGCAAATTCAAAAAAGTAAGAAATGGTACAGGACAAGAGAAAGCTATTATTGTTATAAGGGTTTCAATGTTCTTTGTTAGAGCTCTTCGTGTATGTAAACTTCTTATACAGAATATTAAGATTTGTGAGGTAGTTTAAATAAACTTTGCCTTTTCCAACTTGCTTCTTGCCCTTCGTTCTTCCATCTTCAGTCTTTGAATTTCTATTTCTTCATCTGTCCCATTGATGATTATAATATCGTCTTCCTTGAATGGCTTACCACACTGGAAAAAAAAAGAATTAAATCAGTTGTATTACAAATAAACTTTTCTTTTATTATCATTGCATTACAAAGTAAGCATCTAAGTTTTCATTCATATACAAGTTGAAGTGGAGTATAAAACAAGGAGAGTATGGCCATATTCCACTATTTTCCTCTTCAAATTTCAAGACTTCCAGCTGCAGTAAAGGATTTATGTGTCTTAACGGAAGGCATTGTGAGATGAAGTAGGGTGTTTTTTTGTTGAGAATTTATACTTGTAATGATGAAAAGATTCAAGGGGACATGGGCTTATTGTTGGCTGGTTAATTAAGCATGCTTTATTGAGCAGATCACATGATGATCTTCACAGCTAAAGCTTTGCTTGTTTGCTTTTGAATTTCAAACAAAGCTACACGAGGGCTATCTGCACTAGCTGTCCCTAATTGAGCAGTGTAAGACTAGAGGGAAGGCAGCTAATCATCACCACCCACTGCCAACTCCTGGGCTACTCTTTTACCAATGAATAGTGGGATTGACCGTCACATTATAATGCCCCCCACGGCTGAAAGGGCGAGCATGTTTGGTGGGACGGGGATTCGAGCACCCAAACCACCTGGCCATACCGAGCCTCACAGCTAAAGAAACTCATTTATTTTATGAAACATAAGTAGATAAGTCAATATACAAGTCAAGATTCAGGCAAACTGTGAAAAACGTCTCATCTTATATGCCAAAAAATATGGCATATATATATATATATATATATATCTGAACTAAAAAAAACCTCACAAAAAATGTTTCATTTATAATTAATCAATAGTTATCTAACTAAATTATATTTACCAGGAAATGTAATATTTTTAACTGTCTAATAAAAACCCTAGAGCAACAGAGAAATTATTAATGTTCAGGACTAGTTCAAAAGAAAACAAAATACTTTATTTAGAGCTGCCAGGTTTACACTCACAAATATTTAGAAAACATAACCAGGTTACTTCATTCTGTCAGTTGATAACTGGAATCAGAACTCGGCTGTTTCTAACAATGCAAAGAGACCTACCTTGTGACAAACTGATGACTTGACTTCTTTCAATGCTTTCTCTGACAACACACAAGCACATTCTCGAAGGTAACAGAACCTGTAAAAAACAGTAAGTATAGGGATGTGACTTACAGGACTTTAATTTATAATTCTGAATCTATAAAATTTTAAATTTTCAACCATTTCAACAATAAGTATTAGAAGATCACTAATTTCTTTATATTTTCTATATTTAGGATAAACAAAGCACTGACAAACTATGATTTTTATAACAGAAATTCAAGAAGAATGTCAGTTATTTGTTTTCTCCCACTTTACAACTTCAACTAATTTTATTTTCTGAGAGTGTTTTAACATGACTAGTAACTGTACCTTGTGAATTCATGTGTGTATATATAAATGAACCAACAATTATACCATGTGCATCATACAACAGTAGTATAGGAAATAATATCAAAAGTCTAACTAGCTATTTGCCACCAATGTCCCTTAACCCCACCAACTGGATTAGTGAGCTTGAAATATTTTTTTAGACCCAAATACAGCTTAGTAACTAAGCGTGATCAATTATAGTGGAATTCTATGGTATCGATATAGTAAGTGAAGTTTTTTTTTATTATTATTTCCAAATGCATATATAAAAAAAACTAAAAAATGAATTTTGTTTTACATCATCCACGTGCAAAATTTGATAAGGCTTAGCAACTTACGGCAAGCAGCAAATGAGCAGAAAGTTCGTAACTAGAAGAGATAATTGTTTTCTATACTTCTTAATTTCCTGTTCTACGTTTTAAGAAAAATAACTGAAATTTAAGAATTTATTTGTGAATAGTAATAATGTAAAAATGTATATATAATGTATTATAACCAAACTGTGACTGTATTTTACAAAACACAACTAAAACAGGTCACTTTACAAAGGCCAGTTTTATACTCTTGGATACGGTAACATGAGTGCACATGCTCCACGTCAATGAAACTTCTGTAATGTTGGTCAGACATGGCTGAAAAGTCAGTTAAATAATATATATATATAGATGTATGTTATGAGATTTAAGCTATTTAGAATAAACATTTGTAGTTTTGTGTTATAATTTGTAGTCATTCTAAAATGAAAAAAACCATAATTTATATCTATTTCCTGGTTTTTTATGGGGGTTACGAGGTCAGTCAAATCGTCCAACCCTGTACAGACATACAATATCGAAAATAACAGATGAAATATAAATTTTTTTTCTAAAAAAAAACTTTTGATAATTATCCAAAGGTTATAAAGATTTCATATGTGAAATTTGAAAATTTTCTGATGCATAATCTTAAAATCAAAATTACTTTGCACGTTAGATAGTCAACATTCAAAAAGAAAAATTCACAAGAAAAGCATTACTTAAAAAAAATCTTAAAACTAAATAAAAAAAAAAAGAAAATTTGATATTCTGCTTACGAAAGCCTTTTAATGTTTACTGATAATCTGCAAAACTTTGTGAAGATACGTTTACTGCATTAACAGTTATAACATGAAAATTATAACAAACAGAAAATGGTATGAGATTGATCCCTGGGACCGAGCCCCTAGTGAAAGAGTTAATCATATTCGAGGGCTGATTTTTGATAATTCAGCACCAAATTGACAATTTGTGTAAAATCCCTTTATTAATTTTCAGTTATATCAAGTGTTTTCAAATATATTACAACAGTACTCAAAATGTAAATGTGTTAAAAAAAAAAGAAACCTAAGCTCTTACATCTGAAATAATTGTTCAAGATGCAAGTTGTAAAATCAAAATCAAATCTTTGGTTCTGTTTATATAAGTGCAATAAAGAAAAACATTATTCTACACAGTAACATATTGATATCACTATTACTGAATTTGTTATTAAAACACTTTTAAAATAATTCAAACAAATCTAATAAGAGGTAATTTGTAACTACTTACAAATATAAATATTAAATACATTATTTCTGCATTATTTATTAGTAATATCTTTTTTACCTTCTATCTTCAACTGAACTGGCATACACATACTCGGTAGGAACAAGGTTACTCCAAAATAGATAACAGTAGGTTAACCATAGAGAAGCCAGATAATAGCATGCTCCTGCTAGCTACTGTTGTCTATAGCAACACCACAGATATTAGCATACTTGTTCATTGCTATCTACTGTGGCCCATAGCAACAAATTTCACATTTCAACTATACACCTGGAAAAAAGTTAAGCACCCCCAAATATTTTTCAGGATTGCTTATTGAAAATAAGGTTTAATTTTCATGATGTTGAGCAATGTTCATAATTTCAAACATAATTAAAAGGATGTGAGCGTTCAGGTGTGACATTTAAATCAGGCG